TACATTATTATATATATCCGACATAATACCATATATAATGTAGCTGTCGAAAGAACAATCGAGAATTAGCATGATAACCAGAAGTAAGGACAAACAAGCGAAAGTGAGCATTAGCAAATGGCAGTAGACATCACAGTAGACATCACAGTAGACATATCACAGGAGACATCACAGTAGACATATCACAGTAGACTTCACAGTAGACATATCACAGTAGACATCGCAGTAGACATCACAGTAGACATATAACAGTAGACATCACAGTAGACATCACACATACATTATTATATATATCCGACATAATACCATATATAATGTAGCTGTCGAAAGAACAATCGAGAATTAGCATGATAACCAGAAGTAAGGACAAACAAGCGAAAGTGAGCATTAGCAAATGGCAGTAGATATCACAGTAGACATCACAGTAGACAAATCACAGTAGACATATCACAGTAGACAACACAGTAGACATATCACAGTAGACATAACAGTAGACATATCACAGTAGACATCACATTAGACATCACAGTAGACATCACAGTAGCCATATCACAGTAGACATCACAGTAGACGTATCACAGTAGACATCACAGTAGACATTACAGTAGACATATCACAGAAGACATCACAGTAGACATCACAGTAGACATCACACATACATTATTATATATATCCGACATAATACCATATATAATGTAGCTGTCGAAAGAACAATCGAGAATTAGCATGATAACCAGAAGTAAGGACAAACAAGCGAAAGTGAGCATTAGCAAATGGCAGTAGACATCACAGTAGACAGCACAGTAGACATATCACAGTAGACATCGCAGTAGACATATCACAGTAGACATCACATTAGACATCACAGTAGACATCACAGTAGACATACCACAGTAGACATATCACAGTAGACATCGCAGTAGACATCACAGCAGACATATCACAGTAGACATCCCAGTAGACACCACAGTAGACATATCTCAGTAGACATCACGGTAGACATATCACAGTAGACATCACAGGAGACATATCACAGTAGACATCACAGTAGAACAAAACTGAACATTGTATATATACCATAACACCATACATTTTATAGCTATCACAAGACTTAACACAAGGTCATACATTATTATATATATCCGACATAATACCATATATAATGTAGCTGTCGAAAGAACAATCGAGAATTAGCATGATAACCAGAAGTAAGGACAAACAAGCGAAAGTGAGCATTAGCAAATGGCAGTAGACATCACAGTAGACCTCACAGTAGACATATCACAGTAGACATCGCAGTAGACATCACAGCAGACATATCACAGTAGACATCCCAGTATACATCACAGTAGACATATCACAGTAGATATCACAGTAGACATATCACAGTAGACAGCCCAGTAGACATCACAGTAGACATATCACGGTAGACATCACAGTAGACATCACAGTAGACATACCACAGTAGACATATCACAGTAGACATACAAGACGATTCAATATTAGCTGTTATAATGTCATACATTGTATAGCTGTCACAAAACGATACATTGTATAGATATCACAAGACTAAAATTTTGTATAGCTTACACAAAACTGAACATTGTATATATACCATAACACCATACATTTTATAGCTATCACAAGACTTAACACAAGGTCATACATTATTATATATATCCGACAGAATACCATATATAATGTAGCTGTCGAAAGAACAATCGAGAATTAGCATGATAACCAGAAGTAAGGACAAACAAGCGAAAGTGAGCATTAGCAAATGGTAGTAGACATCACAGTAGACATCACAGTAGCCATATCACAGTAGACATCACAGTAGACATATCACAGTAGACACCACAGTAGACATATCACAGTAGACATCACAGTAGACATCATCTAGGCGGACTACCTTAGCATTATGACATACCTTGTTAGATCCACTTCTACCCAACGAGGATGATGGCGGTAGGATTGAGTTCGTCTCCTAATGACCAACAGAGTAAGAATCGAACAGAATGGAGATCATGGCGATAACCGTTGGTGCAGTACTATAACGCGATAGTTGCCTACAGGAAGAGGAGGTTCATGAGATATGAAGGAAATTTTCGCTGACTTTTGAGGATTTAACAACCTGATGGTCAGAGGGACTAATTTTCCAAATCCTAGAACCTAGAAGATAACAGTGTACCCCGTAGACATTAAGATAGAGAACTAGTCTGTCCTTAGAGATCCCTAATAGATGTGAAAATGTAGGAGAAGGATCCGTACGGCATGTTTAATATATCATTAGGCAGATGCATGGCGAGGCCATGAAAGAAGAAAAGCATACAGTAAAAACAATGCCTCCATACAGTAAAGCCTTGAGCAAGCATTTTGATTCCGATAGGATTTGAAGAGATGAAATGGTAATATGGGATTCGGACGAAGCAAGTGCTATCAATTGAATACAATAAAGAAGATTGAAGATATAAAAGAAATCAAATGGGGACTGCGTTACGGAGATGTAAGGAAGCATGAGGAAACCAGGAAAACCAAGCGTGACGTGTACTTGGTCGAAGTATTGAAGCTGAGGTAAAAACAGGGAAAACAAAAGAATAACACAAGTTACACATGTGAGAAATAATTCGGTCGACGGAAAATTAAATAAAATACCTTACCAATGAGCAGCTGGAGAGATACAGAGTGCGCTTCAGTATTCTTCTCAAATATACGACAGAAAAGGTGCATAACATTTATCACCATCGAAGGGCGGTTATCCAGGCAGTCCAGAGCACCCAATAGAGGCGTGTGGGTGGTGTAGTATGAATACAACCTGCAACCTTTCAGACACTACAAGATCTGGAGAGGATCCTGACACGGCTGTTATTTGGGAGGATCAGATACGAGAACAGAAACAGAGATTGCGAAAAGCGTTAGGAAAAAAGATCAAGTGTGGCTTCAGTGACCGATTGGCAGCTGAGACAAAGGGGCGATTATGGAAAGATGACAAGAGCTTTATAAACATAAAGCTAACGGTGAGGAACAAGCCGGTCAAAGCACAGTTTTGGAACATGTTGACATAAAAACAAGAATAGAACTCGCAGAATTTCTATTGACTTCTGTACCGATTAATTATAGCTCATCAGTTCGCGTCACTTTTAGGCAACCTCAATGAATGACAGTCCCCATGATGTCAAAGGAAAACATTTGACATGGCAACTATATGTCAAAGGTTTGTTTGTCTGAAGATGATAAAGACCTGTCTCTTTGGAAGTAGATGCAGAAGTCAGACTTGGACGTCTTCTTTTCGCCGATTATCTTTTTTCTAGTAAGATATAATTGATGATGGTTGTAATGCACCAACTATTGGCATCGTAAGGGAGAGCATAGTCAAAGCAAAAGAGGATTCAAAGGCACCGATTGCCAAGGCATCCCCTTCCCCTAAGACAGACAGTTTGTATCGAGGAACAGGGATGTCAACTTAAAACTGTATTGTCAGAGTTTATATATATTATACGGATTGTTGACAAGAAAACACAAGTTACAGGTTTTCGGCAACGCATGTATGCGATGGTTTCTAGAGACGGAATGAGAAATGTTGTTCATCCTCTGAAAACGATCCAGCATTTTACACTATGTAGCTTGTTGGAACCATTAGGGACGAACGGTGGCCCACTAAGGATATTGCGCAGATTCCTTGACGTGAAACCTGGGATCATATACTAACCTTTAACAGAGACGAAGTAGTCAACACAAGACCGAGATATACGGAGGCCACAGCTCCAACCACAGAATTTCTATGTAAGTATGTAACATGTTAGCAATTTTAAGTAGACTGTTTTCAATTGTATGGTATTCAGTATTTTTTCTCTTGTGTTTTCAACGATAATCCACTACCCTAGTTTGATGTATTTAACAACAACCAAGAATGCATTGCTAAAGAAGCAATCTCACATCAGGAAAGGTCGTAAGGAGGTGTGGTAAATGCACATGTGAAGTCGATCATCTCTATTGTCTTGAGTATTGTCTGGTCATAAACAATGCGCTGTTTGGCTCTCAAACAATCCATATACAATATTCCTGTGATTAAATAGGTTTTGCAGTATAACAAAATCGTTAAATACCATGGGTCCATATTATTTGTCTGGAGTTCATATTAACTCGATCGTCTTCGAAAGGGAAAATATGAAATTAAATTAAGTGATATGAACATGTGGTACCTACAACATGGCCCATGTGTAAGGTTAGACCGTAACTTTTTTGTGCCGCAGAATGTGAAATTGAAGATGCAGGATATTTACTTCTTTTCTACATCCGGGTACAATATTTCCACATCCGGGTTCGTTGTTCAAGATCCGGGTACATGTACCATGATTTTTTAACTTGTCTTAAATTTCAGATTTTTATAGTTTATGCAAAGAAAACAGGTTAAGATGGTCATGAAGTATTTTGCAAAAACAAAATCAATAAAACAAGGAAGAAAAATTAATTTTCAAGAAAATAATTTATTAATTCAAGTTTTTCAGAATGTATGCATTAAGCATATATATATATATCACAGATTTTACATGAAAAAGGCATACAAACAATGAGGATATACATTGTGATGTTTAAGGCACCGTAATAACAAGTATTGAAAACAGTCAACAATGCTATGGAGAACAATAACGGTGATTGTGAGCTAGAATACTGACATTAACATCCAGTCGCCAATGGTGACTTACACAGTGTAACTTAGAACTCTATTTTGTAGCTGATCTTCGTGAACATTATTTTTTGAAGTTACTAATTTTTCGATAGGAAATATAAAAAATGAAGTCTTATATTGAGCACATCCAACATATGATTTCAATTTTTGGGTGGCCAGAGTTTTATTATAAACAAGTTTTATAAAAACAGCAGAATTATTTAGGATTTTATTCAAAATATAAAACTTTGAAGCATATTCTTGACTATATATATTGTACGGAAATTAGTCACATATCACAGACTACCTATAATACTTTATAAAAAAAATATATAAGAAATCAGTACACCGTTTTTATATACATTGAATATAAAAAGGCACAATTTTAAATCGTGGTATCGTCTGACTTGTCGAGAGGTTTAGATTGTGCGTTTTTAATTATTCTGTAAAAAAATTAAACGCCAAGCGTTACTATTTGACCAAAATATTGATTCTTCATTTTTAGCAACAAAACTTCGTTATCAAAAAAACCCATCACAAATCACAACGAATAACGCAAAAGACCTCATATGGTTGAAAGGCACACCAACAAAGTACCATGCTGACGGAAAGTCTTCCGAAAAGTAACGTTTACAGACAGACTTTAATAAAACGCTTATAAAGCATATAACAGAAAAAGACGTCGATGTGAACAAAGATTGAGCATTTAAAACTTAATTACTGGATAAATTAAAACAAAAATCTAACATAATTTAACATTATCATAGCCGCTTAGTTACTCTACTCTTACTTCTGTTAGCTAATACACGAGACCACTAAGCGAAAATCCCTCAGCTTCCAAACGTACAAACCTCGCGTGTCTCCAACACGAGTCACGCGACACCAAAATACTGTGTGCACTTCATCACATATATATCAAAGATGACGTCACTGTGATCCCACAGTAAAAGCAGCGCCATACCGGTTAAATTCATTATTTACTAGTGGTTCGTTTTTTCTATCGTATGGCGGATATATTTTCCTTAGTCCATGATTGGAATATTTCCACGCGTTGTGTTTTAGGAAGGGTTCCTGAGACACAGCCAGTACCTGGGTAGGGGTTTTGTGGGGGACCTCGGGGTGTTTGAACCAGTGTGTGGTGTTGGTGTTAAGCTTCATATGACCGCTCTGTGGCGGGCCGTATTGTTTAGGGAACCGCCTGTGAACAGGTGGCTTTTCTGTGGGAGTCCCCGTAAAGGAGTTCCCGTAAGTCGTATGCAGGTCTCGATCCACCACGCTCCGTCCGAAATGCTTAAGGAAGTAGTCTTCAGTGTGATGTAACCTCAGGTCTGGCAGTATAATTTTCCGGCCCTGTGTGCGCTCATCTCGACCCTGTTAACAAGATGAAGTATGTCAAGGCCTGATTCTCATCGATTTAGCGAAGTCTCACCAATATAGCAAAGTGTCTCACCAATATAGCAAAGTGCCTCACCAATATAGCAAAGTGTCTCACCAGTGTATCAAAGTGTCTCACCAATATAGCAAAGTGTCTCACCAATATAGCAGTGTCTCACCAATATAGCAGTGTCTCACCAATATAGCAAATTGTCTCACCAATATATCAAAGTGTCTCACCAATATAGCAAATTGTCTCACCAATATATCAAAGTGTCTCAACAGTGTATCAAAGTGCCTCACTAATATATCAAAGTGTTTTACTAATATATCAAAGTGTCTCACCAGTGTATCAATGTGTCTTATCAATATATCAAAGTGTCGCACCAATGTAGGATAATGTCTCATCAATAGCGTAGTGTCTCATCGATATAATGTAGTGTCTTCTCGATATAGCGTAATGTCTGATCAATAAAGGGATAGTGTTTCATCCAAAGCTTATTGTCGCATTGATTCTCAATGCAGTGTATTTTTTCATCAATAGCGAAGTGTGTCATCTATAATTCAACGTAATGTTTTGTCGAAAAAGCGTAGTGTCACATCGATATAGCAGAGCGTTTCATCGATATAACGTAAAGATTCACGAAAAGAATAAAGTTTCATCGGCAGAAACTGGTGTCTCGTCAATAATCAAGTGTCTCGTCAATATCATGAAGTGTCTCACTGATATAACATATTGTATAAGTTTACATTTCCACTAGAATCAAACGTTTTGGTGATGTTGGGCTATTCCAGGAATCTGATTTGTGCTGACGACATAGACACTTTAAAATCGAAAATATAGGGGAAGATCTATATTTAGGTAAATGATAATTACATATTTAGAATGTTTATATAAGGATTGAACGGCATTTTTTCAATTTATGCCGGTATGAACATATATTAGTTATATATATATTTACCACGAAACCCTAACGGGCCCATGGAATAACTGTATGATACCGATTTGCGTTCATACCGGCATGAAATCGAATATTTACGTCCATGAAGTACACTTCCCAGTAACCCAGTTATCGTTACGTTCATAAAACGCACTTCCTTATTACCCTAGAAAACTTACGTCTCCGAAGTAGACTCCGTGGTCCTGGAAAGCATTCCTGTTGTCATGTTCCGAGAATTTGTTGGACGCCTTATAGTTTATCTGTTCCAATGAAAGAAATACACCATTTAGTATTAATGTTATATAAAGTATGCATAGTTAGTGACGAAAAATCTACATATAGCATCAATGAAGAGTTTATTAACTCATGCACCCCTGAAGACACATTTGAACTCTTCCAATTCAAAGGATGGAATAGTTCATTATGAAATTTCAGGGGCGAATGAGTTAATATATCAGAAGTTTCTGAAAGAAGGTGGTCCGAACCTGCAACACTGCATTCGCCCCTCTGTCCATCTAGACATGTGAATGGAGGGGAGATTGCAGTTGGATCTTTACGTTACCGTCTGTATCAATTTCAATAATTGATGAAATGTCAACATTAAAGTATATTTTTTTTATCTAAAGTATAATTCAATATCTGAACATCTGCCAGATTACAAAGTCATGTTGAACAATCCCTATTTTCTCAACACATACAAAATACGAAAAAATTAAAAACGGATTTTTGACTTTCTAATTCACGTCCTCTTGTAGTTTAGTCTGCACGGAAAACACAAGTAAACGTTTTGATCGATAAACCACGATGTATGTCGTTGCAAACCATTACAAACTTATATCATTTGAAGCCGATCCAGATAAAGAAACGTTTGCACTTGAATACAGTAATGTTCCAAAGTTCTAGCTACATTAAAAACGGATTTTTAATAAAGTAAAACATGATTCATGTACAATACTCCTTATTAAGCGGTGTTAGTGACCAGATTACTGATACTTCCTGTACAATACTCTTTATAAAGTGGTGTTAGTGACCAGATAACTGATACTTCCTGTACAATACTCCTTATAAAGTGGTGTTATTGACCAGATAACTGATACTTCCTGTACAATACTCCTTATAAAGCGGTGTTAGTGACCAGATACCTGATACTTCCTGTACAATACTCCTTATAAAGTGGTGTTAGTGACCAGATAACTGATACTTCCTGTACAATACTCCTTATAAAGTGGTGTTAGTGACCAGATAACTGATACTTCCTGTACAATACTCCTTATAAAGTGGTGTTAGTGACCAGATAACTGATACTTCCTGTACAATACTCCTTATAAAGTGGTGTTAGTGACCAGATAACTGATACTTCCTGTACAATACTCCTTATAAAGTGGTGTTAGTGACCAGATAACTGATACTTCCTGTACAATACTCCTTATAAAGTGGTGTTAGTGACCAGATAACTGATACTTCCTGTACAATACTCCTTATAAAGTGGTGTTAGTGACCAGATAACTGATACTTCCTGTACAATACTCCTTATAAAGTGGTGTTAGTGACCAGATAACTGATACTTCCTGTACAATACTCCTTATAAAGTGGTGTTAGTGACCAGATAACTGATACTTCCTGTACAATACTCCTTATAAAGTGGTGTTAGTGACCAGATAACTGATACTTCCTGTACAATACTCCTTATAAAGTGGTGTTAGTGACCAGATAACTGATACTTCCTGTACAATACTCCTTATAAAGTGGTGTTAGTGACCAGATAACTGATACTTCCTGTACAATACTCCTTATAAAGTGGTGTTAGTGACCAGATAACTGATACTTCCTGTACAATACTCCTTATAAAGTGGTGTTAGTGACCAGATAACTGATACTTCCTGTACAATACTCCTTATAAAGCGGTGTTAGTGACCAGATAACTGATACTTCCTGTACAATACTCCTTATAAAGCGGTGTTAGTGACCAGATAACTGATACTTCCTGTACAATACTCCTTATAAAGCGGTGTTAGTGACCAGATAACTGATACTTCCTGTACAATACTCCTTATAAAGCGGTGTTAGTGACCAGATAACTGATACTTCCTGTACAATACTCCTTATAAAGCGGTGTTAGTGACCAGATAACTGATACTTCCTGTACAATACTCCTTATAAAGCGGTGTTAGTGACCAGATAACTGATACTTCCTGTACAATACTCCTTATAAAGCGGTGTTAGTGACCAGATAACTGATACTTCCTGTACAATACTCCTTATAAAGCGGTGTTAGTGACCAGATAACTGATACTTCCTGTACAATACTCCTTATAAAGCGGTGTTAGTGACCAGATAACTGATACTTCCTGTACAATACTCCTTATAAAGTGGTGTTAGTGACCAGATTACTGATACTTCCTGTACAATACTCCTTATAAAGCGGTGTTAGTGACCAGCTAACTGATACTTCCTGTACAATACTCCTTATAAAGTGGTGTTAGTGACCAGATAACTGATACTTCCTGAACAATACTCCTTATAAAGTGGTGTTAGTGACCAGATAACTAATACTTCCTGTACAATACTCTTTATAAAGTGGTGTTAGTGACCAGATCACTTTTTTCTACTCTGTATAAAACACATAAACCACACCAGATAAAACTTGGCACACCTTTTCCTCATAGTAAGATTTCATATTTTACCGCCAATCACACTTCAGTATAACGTTTTTTTTAAAATTAATTGACACGGGGTAGTGAAAATTGATTTACAGAAGGTATGTTTTGACCTTAATCTGTTTGTAGGAAGTATGTTTTCGGGGTTAAGAACAAGTATCTTTATAAAATTATATTTTAGCTTATGAGAGCTATACCGATCAAAAACGAAAACTCAAGCATACACGTGAATCCGATCATACACGTGAATCCGGCCGTGCACGTGAATCCGGCCGTGCACGTATGTCCAATCATGCACGTGTTTCACGTTAGTGTGTAGATCACATGTACACTACAAACCATTTATATAGATATTAAACGTCTCACCTCATGCTAACACTCCGCTCAATTCTACAAAGCATTGTGGAACATAAATTAAGCGTATAACCTATCAATGTGTTAAGTCTAGCAGTTCTAATTAAATCTAATGTAAATGTATAGCATATATTACGAATATCATTTAAAAAGCACAGTTCAAATGTTGGCTTCTTAATGTATAAAGCCTCGCCCGTCGCTGTACACTTTAAATTCATTATTAGCCTTTAATATTACACTGAGTTCACACATGAGGCTTCCTTCTAATAAATAAAATATATGTTTCCACCAGCCGTGCTATCATGCGTGACCGTGTACAGTAGTATCTCCACACAAGTCATTCTACAATGTACTAGTATTAAGCTACTCTAGCTATATAACACATGTTTTAGGACTAATTACAGTAAATGATCAAACAACTCCTCCACCAAACAACCGACGTCAAATAAAACCCTTCACCAACCAACGACAAACCAAACTGGTGAACTTTACTTTGTCTGAATAGACTGACTCGGTGTCATCCAACTGTAAGTAAGTAAAAATGACGTGTACGTTTTAATAAAGGTCCTAATACCGATATCTCATATCTATAGGTTCCTAATATCGATATCTTATAACTTTGAAACAGATTTGTACGTATTAATATAGTAGGTCCCTAATAC